AAAATTAAAGTAGATGTATTTGAAAGATTAATGCAAGCAGCCAAAGTGAGAAAATGTACTCACTAGAAGTCCTGACTCCAGCAATTTTATTTTATTGTAGTATATGCTAGACTATAAATACATAACAATATATCCTTTCTTATCACACGTAGTCTTTTACATAACAGATCTGTGGCTGACATCTTATATAACAAAAGAAAAACTCAAATCTGTAAATTAGCAGAAAAGGTGCAAGGATATAGGAAAATAATACATTTTATATAAATTATAAAGGACAGTTACACCGAAAATCCATTACTTTCCTCTCTAACTTAATTTTACAAAATAAAGTCAACAGGTATTATGCTGTGAGCTGCTATGAATGCACAAACACTGCGGCTTTCAAAAGGCAGCAGTCAGACAAGACATTATCGTGACGTCACATGCTGCTCTCAGTTCTTAACTGGAGTGGAGCTTCCTTTCGTAGTCTTCTTCAGGTGGTGGTAATTTGGCAAGATTTTCATCAAGAAATCCAGCTGTAGTGTCTGGGGCTAAAAAGATAAGATAATTTAACAACCGACTTTCAGAAAGCAAAGTCAAGAATAGCAGCTCTGAGCTGGGGTAGAGCTCAGTGGGAGAGCATCCGCCTGGCACTCACAGGCCTGGGGGTTCAATCCTCAGTGTGAGGGTTGGGGGAGATTTGGAAAACAGCATTGCATATTATCAAAAATTAAACATTAAGGCTGACATGTTGGTGTATGCCTGTAATCCCAGCACTCAGGAGGCTGAGCCAGGAGGATTGCCTCAAGTTCCAGGCCAGCCTGGGCTACATAGTAAGTTCAAGGCTAGGTGGAACTACAGAATGAGACCCTGTCTCAAAAAAAAAAAAAAAAAATCAGATATTCATGCTTACTTAATTCTAATCTCCTTTCTCCAACACCCAACTTCATTTCTCCTTCTTCAATCATTTTTGCTGTTATGGAGGATAGTAAACAAATACTGCATTTTCCCATTTTAGTCTATAGAAGTAAAGCAGCAGCAGCAGCAGCAGCATCATAACAGTGAGGCCAAATATTACAAAGATAGAGTAACTCAGAACTGGAGGTTTTTTGGTTTTTATTTTTGGTACCGGGGATTGAACGCAGGACCTTGCTCTTGCCAGGCAGGCACAGTGCCACTGAGCTAAATCCCCAGCCCAGAACTGGAGTTTTAATTCCTGATAAAATATGGCTAAGAATCAGAGGTAAAATGGTAAATGTTCTGAAAATATTTTCTTTGGGGTGAGGAAAAGGTGGCTGTATAACCAAAGAAACATATACTGAATATGCAAAGAGGCTCAAACATTCAATCTAAATGTCTTATGTCCTTCAACCTAAAATAAATGACTTATGCCCAAACATCCTATCTTTTTCATCTCCTTCCCTAACATTAAACTCCAAATATGTGTTCATTCTTGCTCTGGGTTAATTTCTTGTAAGCCAGGAAAATATCTAAACACACTTGCTTATTCCTAAGCAGTGTTTACAATTATAACATTATGTTAATAAACTAATAAACAAACCCAAGTTCGAGGCCCTACAGAAATGTGCAGGGTCATTCCTTGGCCCCAGTGATGGACGTTTTACTGCTATCACCACAGTTTGAAAGGTTTGATGATGCATCTTTGGCATAAGGACAAAAACAACTTTGGTTTTCTTTTCTCATAATTGACTTCTCATTGTCATCCATATATGTACTTGATAGTAATCTAAAGACTCAGTAGTAGAGCTGCAAACATATTCAGGCTTCAGGAATGTTTCTCTGATGTTTTACTCATTTGCTTTTTTCTTTTCGGGGGGAGGCAGGGAGGCTACGGCTAAAACCCACGGCCTTGTGAATGCTATGCACGTGCTCTACCACTGAGCTACACTGCCAGCCCCTAATTATTTGTTTTTTAAATGGTGCATTTGCTGCTCACTAAGACAATTGGATAGTATTTTGGGAGAGTTCGCTGCCTTGGATGAAACACTTTTTAAAGAGAGGTTCTAGCAGTACCTGGGGCCGCTCAGTCTGCACCCGACGAAGGCAGTCTCCACCATAGATCACTGTATTCTCAGGGATGACTTCAAAAGTGTTTAGGCTGCAACAAGCCCCGATGATGCAACCACTTGTCAGTATTACATTTCTGCCTACATATGCTGTAGTAAAAACCGAGAGAGGATTGGAATTTAAGACACTGTATGATTACAACATTTTTTCCCCAATAACATAGGTATAAAAATGCAAAGTGGCCTTAAGAAACGAAATACTTAGAGTTTGTATAGACAGCAAAGAGGTAGGCAGTATGTATAAGTGTCAGATGGATTCAAAACAGAGCTCTGCTAACCATGGTAGGGGTGTGGCCTTGGGTAAGTCACTGTAAAGTCTTTGAGCTCAACTTTATCTGTAAAATGGAGAGACTACCCTACTTCACAGATTACTTTTTTCTTCTGTAGTACTTTTCAAAGCGTGGTCCCTGGTTCAACAGCTATACTTCAGAGTTTGAAGGACGAACGAGATAATAAATGTAAAGTATTGAGGGTAGGTTTCGCACAGAGTAAGCATACAATAAACAGAAAATGACAATGGGTTGATGATAAAGCTGGCAATCCAAATTCAAATTAAAACCATTAAATAGACTAACAAAAAGCACAGTTTTATTATTTAAGAGAAAGGATTTTCTTCCATGCCAATCAGGATCAAGAAAGATAAACCACTGTTATAAAAAAGTGTCGAAGTTCAGGCTCTTTCTATGCCTGGTGGGACCAGCTCCCACCAATGCTGGTAACTTGACACAATCCCTTGCCTGGCCCCAGTTGTGATCCGTAGGGACATTTGTTTCTGATTGGCTAGGGTAAAGTGGTCTGGAAATTAAAGAAAGCAAACTGCTTGAGGAATTGATTTTTTCCCCCTTAATTCTACAGTAACACTAATCAACTAAAATACCACCAACACTAGTATTTAGTTGAAATCTTTAAAAAAATCTTTCTAAGGAACTTTATGTTTAATCCAATCCAAACTTAAATGTACATGGCTGACTTTGTAACTTAATGTATTTAACCACATTATCAGATAACCACATAACCAGATTAGGTTATTTTGAGGCAAAGAATTAGTTTGACAACGATTTTAGTCCACTTCCAGGCACACCACTTTGTCACAGTCTGAACTGAGGCTATTTCCCAGGGCACAGTGAAGAGAAAGGGGGGAATTACCTTGACAATAAAACACAGCTTACCTTTCGACTCAATGACATTATTATCTCCCATTTTCATGGCTTGGGAATCTAAACCAGAGTTAAGTAAATACTGTAAGCATGTTCCCTCTTTTCTCTGCAAACACAGTATGTCTTTGCATTGCACTGGGGCGCAGAGGCATGGGAAGGGCTATGCAGGCCTGCCCTTGCCAGAATTCTTTGCTCAGCACAATCTGTTGCAAAGTTCCAGTCCTTGACCACAATATCTCTAGGTATAAATAAATGACTCCCTCATTTTTTAAAAAGTAAATGAGTACCGTATGCCCTGATTTTGAGTATATTTTCATAATTTTTATTTATTTTTCGAGACAGGGTCTTGCTGTGTGCTTCAGGCTGGCATTGAACTCACTATGGAGCCCAGGCTGGCCTCAAACTCTCTGCAATCTTCCTGCCTTAGTCTCCCAAGTGCTGGGATTGCAGGCAAGTGTCCCACCAAGCCTGGCCTACCATTGTTTTAAGAAAATCAAAACTATCTATTATTCAATCACTTAAACACTATTAATGGTGTTATGGGTTGGTTGGTTGCTGGGAGCCATTCTACATAATTTTGGGGAAAAAATCATTTCACAATTAAACTACGATTAGGCCTAGTCTCTTTGCCTACATGCTGGCGATGACATGTCAAAACATAACTTCATTTTTGCCTCTGGTCACAGCTGAGACCTCAATGGTCCTGTGATGCTGTGACACTCAAGGGCAAGATTACATCCACTGAAGACATCTTGGTTCCTTGAGATCCAAACAGTAAGAGAAAGGTTTCACTTGGGGAGGGACAAATTCCTTATCAGCTTAACTCATCCCACCTACTGTTGTCAACATAAGCTTCTCACTGACCTAAGATCCACATTAGCATAAGGTCCTCATGGTCATAGGATTATTGTCACCTTCTGAGACATCTGATACTTCCTCCAATGATAAGAACCTTGTGAATTTAGGATTATTTCTGTCCTCTGAGTCATGTTACTCCTTATGAATCCAATAAATAGTGGCAAGCTTGGGCACCCTTCATCTTTGCTGCCCAGAGCAGCATTGATCAGGCCCAGAACCCAGCTTCTTCTCTAAGTCTCATTTCCTGTCTTTATTCTTTAATTTGCCTTGTGCTATCATGGCTCACAGGAGACCAGGACCCACAGCAGGAGTTCTGGTAACTTCCTCTTTCCCTGTGCCCTACAGTTTCCTCTCTCTCCTCTCTCTCTGTCTCTCTCTGTCTCTCTCTCTGTCTCTCTCTCTCTCTCTCATACTGGGGATTAAACTCAGGGCCTTCACACCAAAATACATTCCAAGCCTTTTTACATTTTGAGACAGGGTTGTGTTAGGTCACTAAATTGCCCTGGCAGGGCTTGAATTTCCAATTCTCCTGCTTCAGCTTCCCAAAGTGCTGGGATTATAGGCGTGTGCCACCATACCTGGATAATAGTCTATTTGCTGAGATCACAAAAAGGTGTCCCCTATCATTTTAGTGTACAAAACCAAACAAAAGCACTGGTGACACCCTCAAAGAAAAGAATACCTAGACAATGAAATATTTTCACCCCTGCCCATCATCTTAAATTGGACAATACCATATTGTTTACCCACATAATATAGGAACCAAAATGACAAAGACATGGTTTTAATTAGGACAGAAGCCAGAATTACTGTTTCTGAGTTTACTGCCATTCAGCCATTGCTACTTGTCAACAAGTAGTTCCAGCAAAATTGAGGCAGGAGGTAACTAGGAACAGCTAGAGAGATAAGGGAATACCCATTCTGGAGCCCAGTTTCTGGGCTAGATCCACCATCTGAATTAACCCAGATAAAGATATCCTAGTCTAAATACAAAAGAAAATAAGCAGGTAAACCCAGCTCATACAGTAAGTTTCCAGTGTTCACCTAGTAGTCTTCAGCAACACCCCTCTCATCCCCCCTCCAACCTCCTACACCTCTACCCGCTGTGGGCTTTGGGTACAATGACAGTTCCTCCAAGGGCCATAAAAAGTGAAAACCCCACCACCTGACAAAGGGGCAGTCAAGCTGCTCACTAGCAAGAGTAAAACCTCAGATCAACCCTTCTATTCCACCCGAAACCCTAAGGTTTAAAACCCTCAACACTAAGCCTCCTTGGAGCCATGAGCTCTTCTCATTCCATTCAAAAGAGTGTACTTTCACTTTCAATAAATCTTTCATCTTGTTTTTAAGAACCTGGACAAGACCTCTGATCCAGTAACAAAATGACTTTCAAAATGCAAAGCTAATAGTGTATGCATGTGTGTGTCAGAAAATGGCATACAGTAGCTACAGAACTCTATTGAGTTATTCACCAGAACAGGAAAGAATTTGGTTTTTTTGTGTGTGGTGCTGGGGATCAAATCCAGACCTCACACCTGCTAGGCACATACGTACTCTACTACTGATCTACAGTTCCAGAAAGGCTTTTCTTAATGTACTGAAAACAAGTCTATTGAAAGAGTAGAATGGCCTAGTCTTAAAAATATAATTATTATATATATAGTGCAAATATATGTGACAAATTATGACAGTTTCTACAGGGGGAGATTTGCATACCAAAGAACATCTGGGAACAACTTACGGTACATTATTATAAAGGATACAACAGCCAACTTCAAACACATTATTGGTGCCAATGATCATGGGTTTGGGTTCCGGATCGTCAGTGTCAGGGGTGATATTGTCTGGGTGACTATAAAAAGAAGAGACACATCATCAAAAAGCCAGTAATACAAAAAGTGATTTTCCTTTCATTTTAGAATTTAATTCTCTCAATGTCACCTGTTTAAAATATATAACTATGTCAGTTATTTCTTTTTCTTTGGTACCAGGGATCAAACTCAGGACCTTGCACTTGCAAGGCAGGCGGCGGAACCACTGAGCTAAATCTCTAGCCCTATTTCTTGATCCAAGCGAATCATTTCTCCTCTGTGCTGGGGAAATTCAGCAGAACTACTGAAGTGTAAGGAAGTCAGAAGTGCTCTGAAGGACAGCCTCCAGATAGCATTCTTCAGGACAAGGCAGAAAAGAATGCTGGCAATACTTTTATTTTCAACCTGTTAAAATGGAATCAAAATCATGCCTAACTTGAACATTTTTTATCCTAAATAATCATTTGAGATTATGAAATGTAAACGGATATTCACATAAAATAATTATTTTATGGTATTAGATAGTTAGTTGAAATATTTGGAAGATAAAATGTTTGTACTCTCAAAGGAGGAAGCTGTTTTAAATGGTGTTTTATCTCTGACAGTTGAGTTACTGCAGAATATTGCTATGGTTGACTGACTTGTGCTAAAAGTGCCAAGTGTATTTTAAAGAGAAACGGCTTAACATAGTAAGAAACTCCCAGATTCTAAGTAAGCCTTCAGACAAATCAGTCTTCTTAATCACAGTTAAATATTTTCCCAAGGTCTTTATACAAATTCCATACATTGCTGCTATAAATTAGGTATAAGCTTGAACTTCTTGCCAAAATTTTATCTAGAAAGACTTACTAATGCTTATGAAAATTTCATGGGTATCATGGTCTAGTTCACTAAAATCTCATACATGTTCTAGTAAGTTGTTATTATTATTATTACAGATTGAACCCAGCACCTTTGTACTGAACTACACCCTTGCCCTTTTTAATTAGTTTTTTATTTTGAGACTGGATCTCATTAAATTGCAAAGTTGCCTTGGCTGGGTTTGAACTTGTGTTCCTTTTGCCTCAGCCTCCCAGAGTGCTGGGATTAGACACATGCCACCATGCCTGGGCTCTTTTTATCATTAAAGCTTAAAAATTGCCTCTAGGACCCTAGATTTTTCAACTGTAATTCTGGATGGTACCTATGCAAAACGTGTGAAAATGGAGTTAAGTTCAAATGTCTGGGCATGAGTAATAACATTTCAACCAGAACCAAGAAATTCAACAAAAACTCTCTTTAGGTGGTCAGCATAGCACTTGGAGACTGCAGGTGCTCAGGAAACGTCTGCTTAAAGGAGGAATGAGAAGAGGACACGTAAGGTGAAGATTATCAGACCCCAAGTGGAGTCTTGTCAGCCACCAAAGAGCTCTCATCTTGGACAAGTCATTTCCGCTATCTGGTTTTTAGGTTCCTCATTTACTTATGTTGATTTCAATATCCTTAATCATTTCTTAGCTCTAAAATAATGGGGCTTCCAAATGTCAGCTGCGAAGGCTTTTTACAGACAGCTGAAACTGATGAGAAATGTTAACTGTGGTGCTTGGGTCAGAGTGTATGTAAGAGTCTTACTCACGCATTTATGATCAGGGCCTGTTCTTCTATTAGATTACCTTCACCGATCACTATTGGCCCGGCTTCCGCAATAATTCGTGCTTTAGGGTGGACCACTGTCCTAGGTCCTGTTAAAAACAGTTTGAGAAGAAATTATCAGTAGAGGCTATACTTCCAGCAGGAGAGTGGGAGGAGACAGAGGGTGGGGGAGACTGTTGGAAGAAATGTTTTCTAAGTAAATGCCCAGCACTAACACGGGAGGGACTTTATAAATACTATCTCCTTGGCTGTTATCATCAGTAGTTGAGCTAAGGTGAGTGAAATGGCACAGGATTTGAGCCCAACAGCTCTGGCTCAGCCTCCATCTCTGGCTCAGCCTTCATCTCGGAGCTTCACTGATCACAGCAGTGAATGTCAGATGATAACACCAATCCTGCAGGGTTGCTCTAAGGGGTGAGATGAAATGATGTTGGAAGCAGAGAAAGTGGCACATAGTTGGCAATAAAAATGTATTCCCTTCCCTTCTCTCAGAAAGGTAAAGGTAAAGCTCTCTGCTACAATGCGGAGCTTTGTCTTTTTTATTTGTTTTAGTGGTATTAGGGACTGAACCCAGGGACTTCACGCACGCTAAGATATCCCCAGCCCTTTTTCTATTTTTAATTTTGAAACAGGGTCTCACTAAGTCACTAAGTCTCGCAGGCTGGGCTTGAACCTCCTGCCTCAACCTCTCAGAAGTGTTGAGATTATAGGCATGGACCACCATGCTCAGATGACTCATCTTTGTACTACATGATGAAGAAGTATAAGTGAAAAAAGTCAGAAAATGTGGTATATAACCTTAGCTTTGTTCTTCAGTCACTATCCCTAATATAAGCATTCTTGGAAGGAGGCAGAATTTCTGTCATCTGGTTTAGGATATGATTTTGACCAACTAACATGGAGAAAGTGAAAAGGAGATAGCAGAAAAAGACAAAAGTAAGCATGGAGGTCCTCAGATTCTGGTTCAGGGACAAGTGAGGCAACACAGCCACGCTCAAACCTAAGTAAGCAAGGGAGGGCTCATCACCTCCAGGCAGAGCAGGTCCTGCACTGCCTCACCAAGGCTGGGACTCCGGAATGCTAGCACACTCCCTCCCCAGCTCTTATCTCCGACAGCCTGTGTTTTGATGATAGTGAAACTACGATGAGAAAATATATCCTCCTTTTAGCCTGTCTCCAGCACCCCTCTTATCACCTCAACACCAAGCTCTTTTCCATTGGTAAACAAGTGGACAGGAAGGAACTGATTCTGAAAGAGTGGACAGAAAAACAGGCAGGAAGGCAAAGGGATTAGGAAGGTAACATCATCCATAAAATTGAATATTCAATTGTATGAATTGTTAATTTATTCAAAAATCATTATCTCTCTGTGACAGTTGAGATACAGCAGCACTCTGTGTAATTGGGAAACAACAACAAAATCCACATGCTGTTCTTGGCCCCTTTGAGCTTGTTCTTAAAAAGTATTCACTCACAAATGTATAATAAAATAAGTACAGGAATGTTTCTGTTGTCCAAAGAATTGGAACCTCAGTGCAACTTACTCTTTTCCTGATAACAAGGGGGGGTGGCAAGGCAGGATCCCCAAAAGGATGTACAGACCAGAGCTGCCTGGTAAAAAGCAGCCTGAGAGTGGCCTGATACTTCCGTTATGTCTGGCTCCCCAAATCTTCAGCTGCTGAAATAGAATTTCACAGGCAAATTTTTCTATTTAGGATAGGAGACAGGAATCTCTTTGATGCCTGGGAAGCGTCTCAAGCTGACCACAAGTGTGAATGAGTGTGCCTTATTTCCTTTAAAAACAAATAAATATTCTCTCCCATATATGTACATGTACTGTATATAATACACATCTACACAGATACAAATGTATGCATATATTTATAAAATAACACATAATTACTAAAAATTCAAGGAAAAACTAAAAGATTCTGCCATGACAATCCTATTCCCTAGAGGTAACTTATTCATGCTAGGCATGGTGGTGCCTGCCTATAATTCCAGCACTCAGGAGCTGAGGCAAGAGGATCATGGTGAGTTCAAGGCCAGCCTGGACTACATAGCAAGTCCCTTTCAAAAACAAAAAACAAAACAAAACCTAGAGGTAACTATTCTGAAAAGTTTGGGATATACTATTCTAGACTAAATACTACTGCATACTTCAGATCTGTAAATATCACTATATATAAACTATATCTCATTTTAAAAGTATGAAAAGAAATGTGACCTGGAGAAATAATATGTATTACAAGCAAATACTTCTTTAAAACCAAGGAATAGGGCTGGGGATTTAGCTCAGTGGTTTCGCCGCCTGCTGCGCAATGGCAGGGCACCCGGTACGAAAACAAACAAACAAAAAAACCCCAAGGAATAATATGTATTCTACAGTTGCTTTTTTAAAATGGTAATTTCTCCATGTAATCATATCTAAGTAGATATTCTTTTTAATGGCTGTAAATTATATCATATTAATATGTCACAATTAACTGATTCCTTAATAATGAGCATTTAGATGTTAATAACATTTAGTAGGAGAATTGCTAAACAATGCTGACATGAACACAATTCCTTTGAAATGAGAAGTTTCTAAGTTTGCACAATACTAGATTTATATCTTACTTCAAAATGTTCCATAATAAAGGGCACAAATCTATTTTTAGGTTCTTTGTAATTAAAGCCCCAGCCGACAACCTACCCTTATTAGAAAGTCTCCATTCTGGCCTCTAACACTTAAAGGCTATCTGCTTCCTCTCTCCAAGGCCTGTTTTCTCTCTATAAAAGGATGAGATCTTTAGCAACCTACCTCACTGGGGCGAAATGCGGGTTATATGAACTAATGTTTGAAAGGGAGATCATGGGCTCTGACTCATAAGTCTTAAAAATGAGATGTTCATCACTATTTGCCCCTAAGCACTAACAAATAACTTTTTCAAAATAAGCAAAATAACTAGTTCAGGTCTGAGAAGAGAAGGGCCTGTTTTCCCCTCTGTTCAGGTATCAGTGTAATACAGTAATGCCTCCTTTTAACCAAGGGAGGGGATTCTATATGGTACAGACAGTAAAAAGTTGAACAAGTGTTTTCTATAACCAGCTTTAAAGATCTTAGATAAGAGGAGATCATCATGGTGTGGACAGAAGGCAGATCCTTTGTCACTCTAGATAAGTGGCCAGAGGCGCTAGATATTCTGCTGGTCCTCAAGCTGTAGCTTTTGACGAGCAAGACCTAGCAGAAGCTACCTAAAAACGGATTGATAAAATGAAGGTATCAGTACGACCTACGTGTGTCCTTAAAAGTTTGTCTAAAGGGCTGGGGATTTAGCTCAGTGGTTTCACCGCCTGCTACAACAAGCACAAGGACTGGAGTTTGATCCCTGGTACCAAAAAAAAAAGTTCCTCTAAAGTGTACTTTTGAAAACAATTGATATTTTCATTTTTTCCTCTCAAAAATTATGTAATGTTCGTTATATTAAAAGCCCAAATAGCCGGGGATTTGGCTCAGTGGCACCATGCCTCCCTCGCAAGCACAAGGTCTTGAGTTCATTCCCTGGTACCACACACACACACAGACACACACACACAAAAGTCCAAACAGATCAGCACAAATTTTAACAAATTAAAAGAACACAAAATTCCATAAGATATTTTATACAAACGGGGCATGGAGGCACATGCCTGCAATCCCAGCACTCTGGGAGGCTGACGCAGGAGACTACAAGTTTAGAGCAGAGCATAGGCAACTTAGTCACTTAACAGAACCCTGTCACAAAATAAAAAATGAAAAAGGGGCTGGGAAGGTAGCTCAGTGTGAGGCCTTGGGCTTAATCCCCACTACACAAAAAGAAGCCTTATATATTATTTTAAAATAATGCCTGAAGCCCAAGGATTGTAGCTTATTGTTAGAGCACTTGCATGCAAGAGGCCAAATTCAATCCCTACCACTGCAAAAATTAAACAAATAAATAAATAAATATTAAAATAAAAAATAGGAAAGCGTGAGCTACTTTAACCTGGTATTGTATTACTGTGGTTATTGTTTTTATCATTACTAAGTTATTTAATAAACAGCTGGAAAACTGGTTATAAATCTGAGGGCCTCTTGCCTTGGAGTAAACAGTTGCAGTTTGAGTCTGAGATTTAGACACCACCCCCACCTGCTGGCAGCTTTGCCAAACTACAGGCCCTGGTACTTTGGACTTGAAAGGTGAAAACTTTGAAGTTAGGGTTGTGAGGTGGCAGTAAATGTCACAGGCAGTAATAAACTGAATCGTTTCCTCAGCTTCTTGTAGGTCTTCCTGGCACGGGCTGGGAGGTGAGCACACATATACGTGAGGATATGTGCCCTCTAAGATTTGGGTTTGGACTCTGACTTTCGGGAGAGTCGGGTAGCTTCGCAGGGCTTCAGGGCTTCACACCGGAGGTCGGGCTGGCAGCAGAGGCCAGCAATGCAAGCAGTGAGTGCACACAGTGCTGCAGGCACAGTTCACCCCAGGCTCTTCTGCATGCCAGGGGCACCTTTACCTAAATGCAAACCAAGGTTAAGGCTCTTAAGGTTAAAGTGCTTTAAAATAAATATCTGTCACCATGGAAAGTTTTCTTCCTTTAAGTCTGTTGTGAACCTTCTTGGAGCTCTTTCTGGCAGGGCAGTTTGTGTATTTTCTTACTGAATGTGCTGAAACCCTATTTGGCTTATCTCCTTGTTTGGATAAATGTGTCTAGAGTTGGAATGGCCTGAACTGGCTGATGGATTATTTTTCTAAATGGTTGGCTAGGCTTGAGGCAGCATGGCCAGAAAGGCATTCCTTGCATTACACTTCCATTCCCCTCATTTGGTAAAGGACATTTTCCTGTCTACCTTTGCCATGGAAAGCAATCTTTGTGTACATTCTCATAAGTCAATAAATAATTCAAAAAGTCTCAAGCTTTCTCTTTTGAGAATTAAACAATTCCTTTGACCTATAAGCTGAAGTACCTGCACCAGTCACTTTATAGGCAATGATTTCTCACGTCAAAGCCACTGCTCTGCCTTATTGACAAAGACTATACAATAAAAGGGGGGCTTCTGATCCGTATTAAAACTCTGCTGGGGGCC